CTGCCCCCCCCACCCCCGCTGCCCTCACTCCCGCCCCCGTGTTGTGTTTTAGTTGTCCCACAAGCGTACTCGGTGCTCGCCTAGTGGCGGGCTCACCCTCGCTTTGTGGGCCCCAGGCCCATGTTCCCAGCGTTGGAAGTGCCACAGGACTTGTGCACCCGGGAACTCACGGGACCCATGCACCCCAAAACCATGGGACTCTGGCACCTGGGAACCCGCGGGAAAGCTTATGCAGTTGTCTGCTGCCTCTGCTCTGTCGCAGCCCGTGCCCAGGCACCTTCAGGCCGCGTGAGGGGGTTAAGTTTTGGGATGCTGATCCCCCCCAAGCTTACCCATTACGCCCTCTTCTATTTCATGCTTATCTGGTTTTATCGTGCATCCTGATCTCAGGTTACCCGGCGCAGGGCAGCCTGCCAATCTAGTGCAATAACGGCGCAGCAGTTCTGGTGGGCGAGAGCAGCATTCACGGCCCGGGGCAGACGTTGCGCTTGGGTCATCTGTGGGGCGCGCGCATCTGGCTGTCTTGGAAAGAGGCCCTTTGAATTTTCCCTGTTGATTAATATTTAAATGATTAGGTGGACAGTATTAAACCGATTTTAGTCACTGTCAAGGAAAGAGGAGGTGACCGAATTTACTGAGCAAATGTGGTCTTGAATGGTAACAGTTTGCTGAAGGAAAATAGATGGCAACTGCTACGAATGGGGAAATCATGAATTGTAGCAAACTGATGAGAGAGGCTAGATAGGTCAGGAGGGTAAAAAAAAAAAAGAAGTGGAAGGATGGTAAGTTGATTTTAACACAGTAGGAACAAAGCAAGCAATGGTGCAGTGTCCAGAAACCTCTGACTGTCACGCACCTACAAAGTTGTGACTTGCCATTACAGACCTGTTGTGTTTGCCTGGACTGGCCCTGCCCCCTTGTTAAGGCTCTTGTCAGACACAGGCAGCAATCGCCCCAGCTCGCAGCTCTCCCGGCTGCTCAGAGCCCAAATACAGAAAAGTTTTAAGATCTGCAAGTCCAGATAACTTGCGCTCATAAGACCTATAAGAATTTAGTAAGACATTTCTGGCCCATTAAAATTAATTGCTAGTATCTGTTAAGATCATGGGGAAATTAGAGAAGACTGCGGCACAGCTCATTTTTTTATCGGTATTGAGAAATGACACACAGGATGCCCTGGATAACTCTGGGTTTGTTAGCTTGAAGAAAAAAAAAAAGGGAAAACTAATTCGGGATTCAGCTGGATAAAGGTAGGATGTTACTTGCCAGTTCAAGAGAATTAGGGCTTGTCAAAGCAACCCAAGTTCGTTCTTTTTATGACACGATCACTTTGGTTGATAACTGCTTGGTTGTAATAGACTTAGTACCGCTCTGTTTAAAAATGATCACTATAAGATATCAATAGAGCAATCATATAATGGATTAAAACCTGGATAATTGACAGATTTCAAGAAGCTGTCATCACTGATTGGAGCATTTCTCATGGGCTCTTATAGGGTCTGGTGCTATTCTACATGTTCCTAGTAATCTGAAGGTTATGAGCAAGATTGCTGGTGAGACACTTAGGGAATGCCAATATTCCCAATTTTCCTTACAACGGTGCTGATCTGATATGGGACCGATGTATCGGGTCAGCTCTCGAAATCGTATCCGCAATGAACAAAATGCTGTTTAGAAACAAGGCGTCTGGGCAGAGCGGATAAGGATCGGTGAACTATCCTCCGCCGTGACTATAAAGATACCATGGCTGTAGTAGCCCTGATCTCTTCTGCAAGTAAACAACATGCCACACGTCGTTTAACATACTGCAACACGCTTGTGTACACAGAATTGAAGTCAAGTGGAAGAGTTTGGATTCTGCGTGCTCATTCACACATGACACGCATGCTTCGCTTTGGAGCGCTGATTTTTTTTTCTTCTTAATCCAGAACACAGCTGTCTAATGCTCTCTCTCTGTTACATAGGTGCAACAATGGATCTTGTCCTGAATGCTGCAGACCACTACTTTCTTACACCATATGTGTATCCTGCCACGTGGCCAGAGGATGAGCCCTTTCGACAGATTATAAGTCTCCTGCTTGTGACAAATCTTGGTGCACTTGTCCTTTATTTTCTGTTCGCAACGCTGAGCTACTACTTCATTTTTGATCACAGTCTGAAGAAGCACCCCCATTTCCTGGAGGTAAGCAGAATTGCTGCTTCTTTCCCCTCTCATATAACCACTCGTGAAAAAAAATCACGCTTCCACTTCAAAGTAGTCATAGTTGATAGCGACTAAAAACTGATTCAGGGGAATTACTGTAAAACAGGTGCAGCTTTTCCAAGGCCACATCCATGTTAGAAGGTTGGATCTGTTTAACTAAAAGCAATTTTGAAAAGATCTAGTTAAACTGGTGCTGTTTCCTAATACAGAAAAGGCCTGAGTATAAAACCACAGGGGCTTTCCATTTAAAATTTCAGAGAAGGTGGTTATGCAGGACAAAATAAAATTTGCATGTTAATTGGAAACAAGGCATCATGATTTATTAATGTGTTTAATTTTGTTGAGAAGAACAAATGAACTTTGCTTTGAATTAGGAGCAAGTTAAATGAGATATTCATGGAGGCATTCAAAATTATCCTGACAGGGCCAGGAGAATAAAGCAAAATCCATTTTCCTAAGAATGAGGCAATTTTCTTCCTAAATTAACAGCCCCTTATGATGTCCACAGTCCACACTGTACTGTAAATTAATCCCTGTGATAAATCATCAATTTTGAACCACAGGTCTGGTGTCTAGTAATCAAAGGAGAGAACTTGGAGGTGTTGTGTGTGTTAAGGCTGTACTGCACGTACATTTTGCTGACATGGTTTATGTTGGTTAGGCATGTGAGGGGGGAAATTGGACCCCTGGCCCCCATAACTCTGAACGAGTTAGTCTCTGAGGTGCCCCACGCTGGCCTGCCTTCTGTTTAACTTCAGGCTAACATAGCGAACTACCTCTCTCCACATAACTATGTCAGCAAAAGCTCCAGTGAGGACACATGAATACCATGACAGTCCTCTTGTTGGCATTGCTTACTTCGTTTAAGGGAGCAGAATAAGCTGTCCTAGCAGAGGGCAAAGTTTTCGAAAACGGCCACTTCAGACCCTCGCATACAACTGCAGGGCACAATACCAGTGATGCCCTACAACGTGCCGTAGTTGAAGGGAGGGGAGACGAAGGTATTGCCAGAGCCCTGTCCCGGCAAAGACATTGAAGCAATTTGGATTGAGCCACCTTGAGTCACAGCTTTGCTTCTGTAAGTTTAAGCACTTCTGTCTATTAAACCAAATCAACACATTTAAAAATCCCAAATTTAGTCGACAATACTCCTTTATCCAATGTACCGGTAACTAAAAAAATTCAGCTCTTTTGTGCATATGCACGAGGGCTGCATAGACAGGCCTAATTCTGGCTTACTTTTGAGTGCTTGACTTTGCAGTATTACTAATGGTGGTTTAATGAGACATTGGGTACAATCATCTGCAGGGAAGTTTTGTGTATTTAAAAACAGTAAGAGAGAGAGAAATGACCAAGAACAGAAGATACTGCACACTTGACGGGGACCTTTTTGACTTGGCAAAGACTATTAGTGGTGCCCTGATGTGAGTAAAGTGGGGCTTGCTTTATTTCAGGTACCACCCTGGTTCTCATTAAAGTTTAAGGAAACTCCCCTACTGGTTTTCTGATATATTGAATCAACCCACTGCTTAGGTGGTGCTGATTGCAGTCAAGAATTGCTCTGCATTTGAAATCTACCAGTAATTAATGACAGTCGTGGGCAAAGATGCCAAAGATTAAGTTGACTGTGGAGAAAAAACTGTCTGTTTACATGGCAGAACATGATGAGGGAAATTGGAGCGAGTCAGGTATCTGTAGGGTGGAAAGTAGTCTGTGTGGTTTGACTGATGCATTGAACTGGCTGTGGGGTGTGGGTGCAGCTGGCAGTACCTCTGCTTTCCCCGTTCTGTGATAAGTCAAGGTATTTGCTCGGGCATTTCACATGATCGTGAACATGCATGCACATGCACATACATATACATGTGCATACACACACTCTCTTTTTAAAAATTAGAACCTACTTGCTTTTCCCATTCAGAATCAGGTGCAGCGCGAGATAAAGGCCACTGTGCAGTCCCTGCCATGGATCAGCCTACCCACCGTTGCACTTTTCTTTGCAGAAGTCAGAGGTTACAGCAAGCTTTATGGCAATATTGAAGACTCCCCATACGGTAAGGACACGGCTCAGCATCCTAGTTCCATCATGGCATTCATTCTTCCCTTCCAGCTCACCTGTGCTTCTAGCCTCATACTCTCACCTGTGCTAGCCCCTCCATTGTCATCCAGGACTGCCCTATCCCCCCTCTTCCCTACCTTAAAACCTAACTCACTCTCAACAGTAACAAGTCCTTTCCTGAGCTGTCGCCCCGTCTTATTTGCCAACTTTCAGGGAGAGAGAGTGTGCCTTACTTAGGGCTATATCAATTGATGGAGCTGCCCAAATGGTTTATCAATGTGGATCCATTAAGCTACATGGGCTTTCATTTTTTTACACCTCAGCATGTTGCAGTTGAGAACTGAACCTTCTTCTGCTTGCAGGCAAGAACTACCCTGCATGCCATCTCCTTCCTTGTTATGGAGCAGCTTGCTTCAAAGAAAGATCTCCCAAAATAGTCTGTCTTGCAGCACGGAGCTAAAATGAAACCTGGTCCCCAGGGGGCTTTGTACTTGGAATGCAAAAGAGGCTGGTTAGCTAAACTCACCCACCTCTTTCTGCTGTGCCCACTTGAAAAGAGCGAGTATTAACCAACAGCAACCCAACCAATTGCTGTAAAGGTTAATCTCTAACTCCTTTGGCATGTAAAAAATTACACAGTGATGCTGAGTGTCACAAGAATAGTATATTAAATTATGGAGGGCTGTTTCTCTTGATAGTGACACAACAGGGGGATGTTCCGATTTTCCCCTGCCTTCACAGCAAGTAAAATCTGAGATTCCAGCAGCCAGTAGAGGGCAGAATTGATTCTGCTTTTATTTTTTTAATTTATTTTAAAAATTATTTTAACAACTATGTGGGAGAATTCAGGGAAGGCAGAAGGTGCTGGCTAAACAGCCCTGGAGTCTGAAGTCTTCCAGATACAAAATAAAGCAACAACACTGCAGATTCCCCTTCGTATGCCAGCCCCATCCCTCAGTAGGCTGTGGCCCCTCAGCATTCTCCTAGGAAGAGTTCTGCCTTCATGACCATTCACTCTTGGCCATCTCTGCACTGAAACAACTAGTGATGGGACTCAGAACAGAGGGTGCCTATACACATGCTCTGACGCGTTCTAATTAGAAAGCGTTCCAACAGACTCTATTAAAATAATATGTACGTATTAGTAGATTAATTGAGTCTGCTCCACATTCTAATTAGACTGCTGTAGCATCACCGCAGTGTCACATCTATAAGTTCTCGCGGGTTTAAAAATGGCCTCTGGGGCTCTTTAACTGAAGCTCATCAAATGAGCTTTAGTTAAAGTGTCCCATGGCCATTTTTTTAAACATGTGGGGGCTTAATACATGTGACACTGCAGCATTTTAATTACAGCGGCTCTCCAGGAACTGCTCTAATTAAACCCCCCCACCCCAAGCATGTGTATAGGCAGCCTGAGTCAAATCCATCCCGGTTCTCTGAGCAGCCGTGGAGTAGTTCAAGTGTCAGGTAAGTGTCATGTCTAGAGGATGGGCTCTGCCGATCAGTCAGACTCAGAGAAACAAAGGACTGGAAGGACCCATAAGAAATCATTTACTCCATCCTGCAGGAATACCTGACAGATGTTTGTCCAACTGGTTCTTTAAAAACTTCCAATAAACGAGATTCCATAGCATCTCTGTGATTTTCTCTTCCGAGGGTTTCACCACCTTGACAACAGATATCTAACTGAAATCTGGTGCCCAGAAGTGGGCACAGTGTTCCAGCTGAGGCCTCACCAGCACTGAGTCACTACTTCAGGCCCTGATCCTGAAAGGAGCTCAGTTGGGGCACACGAGCCTCCTTGACTTAGGGCTAGCATGAGGAGCAAGGATCCAGGCCCGCTGCGTAAACTGAAAGACTGGAATCTAAGTCTCAAGCACACATGAATGAGGAGGAGAGTGTGATTTGGGGGCTGGTGACTCTCAAGCCTCTTAAACTTCCTTATCCATCCTGACTGTAAATTACTGGGTTTCAAGGCTTGCTTATACCACATAGCTTTGGCCACTATCTGTATGCTGGCATAGCTATATTGGCAGAGACTCCTGGCAGTGATGTGGCATGTGCTGATGCAAGGGGCTTTGTGGCTGGAGTAGCTACACCACCTCTCCACATGACATAGGCTAAGCTGACAGAAGGCCACTTCTTTGGAGGTACTAGGGTCATACTAGGGGTTGTACTATATCAGCTGGGGGTGTGACCACGTGTAGTATAGACCTCACCACTGGGCCTGGGCAGCTCTGCGCAAAATATACCCTTTGCCTTCAACTTGGTCTCTGCCTCCTTCAAGTTAGAAGGATGGACAAGTCATGTTGAACTCCCAGTGCCATTCCTGATTTATGCCATTGTAAGTGAGAAAATGAGGCCCCTGGCATCTGCCTCTTGTCTAGAGCTCATCATCTACCCTAAAAATAGCAGCCCTCATTTATTTTTCCACTCGTGGATGATGCAGATACCAGATGTTCTGACATAAATGCTTCCTCTGTTTGCGCGTTGTGTATTTCATATTCCACACACAACAGCTGCATCCCAAACAACTGGAACGCTTAAGCACCCATCACTCTTTTTATAGTGAAGCTGGTGGCTTTAACAGTGAAGTCCATTATAAGTAGACACTACGCAACTGTGCTGTCATGGCTCCTGGTATCTTCAGTTCTTTAGGTACATTTGTTAATAAAAAGCTGCTGACAATTCAGCCCATAACATTTACGTTTCCTCTTTAATGACTGGTGCTGTACAGCTCTGAAGGGCTGTGTTATCTCCCTGACATACAGCAGACTGTATGGCTCTGATTTAGTGAATTAGAGAAAATCTGACTCCAGATAGAGACATCAGGAACAGTGCTTTTAGATGTGCAATTTGAAGCTGCCAGAGCAGCCCACCTTGGCCCACAAGGTACATTTTTGCAAGTCAAGTTCCATGCCTTTTTTTTCTCGTTTTAAGAAATGCAATAGGGATATTTTCAGGCCAACAACCACCACAATGAACCTCCCCGTGATTTTGCCACCCCCAAACTGGACTAAGAATCTGACAGTTATTACAGTAGTGTGAAGTGGTCCCAATTCTGGACTCAGCTTCACTGTGCGACGGTACAAAGAGATGGTCCTTGCCATCGAAGCAAAAGATAAGGCAATGGCAGATGCAACAAGTAGTCATAGAAGCACATGGTGCTTAATTCTCTACGTTTCATTACTCAGGCTATACAAAAGGCAAAACCAACACAAACCAAAACAGAAGTATGGGTAGTTTTCCTATACTAAAACATTAGTGTTTATAAGAGATACTTGTGGTAGTTTAAAGTCAGACGGCAGGGTACATATGCCCCTTTACAGACTGGCTAAATAAGATGGAGAGTAAAATCTTTCATGAACCCAAGTTAACTTCATCAGATGCCTTGTATAAGGGCAGTACTGTCATCTGACACCTCCAGGGAAGGATCTTACCTGATCAACACATCAAAGAACTACTCAACACAGCTCACAAAGACATGCTCATGGACCCAGAGGGACAGCCTTCCATCTTCAGCTCCCTCTATGCAAAAATGAAGTTTATTTCCTACCTATGGGGACTTTTTACCATCTTGTACCATCTACACTTTTCCCAGAGCCTGACAAAGGGACTTTGATTCTGAAAGCTTGCAGAAAAGGACAGTTTTCTTGCCATTTTCCAGTCGGTCTAAGGTATCATTTTGGGACCAAGAGTTCTTGTTTTTTGTATGTCTTTTTGTATAAGGGCATTTGCTTATTGTTTGGAGTTGTCAGACTGCTGTAAACTAAGTGCTGCTCTGTTCAAGTTGTGTATACCTTTTTATCTTGGTGGTTCTCAATGTTTTTAGGTTCAAGGTACCTCCCCATAATGTTTGTGAATTGAGTGACACCCCATTTCAAAAATTAATCTTATGAGGGGGTAGTAGGGTGGAGGACTAGCTAGTCAGGAAAGCCTGAGCCTGTGCTTATCTCCTGACACCTACTTCATCTCCTCTGCTTATCTCCTTGCACCTCCCCATCACCCTTTGGCCACCATCTCGAGTTGTCCTTGCTCCATGTTGAGAATCACTGCTTTATCTAATTTCCATTTTTTTCCAAAGTGGGATGGAAAAAACATTTTGCAAAGATAGCCTTTGCTACTTGTCTTTTCCAGGTGTGTTATAAAGAAGCATGTTGTGCTTCTCTGTATGTTCCTGTATGCTGTCCAAAAGTGTAAATGAAATTTCCAGCAATGGCCTTTTAAAGATTAATGGGTTTTGAGAGAAGGATGGATGACACTTATTTTGCTTTCCTGATGGGACAGTTCTGAAATCTTCTCCAATAGCGTTATCATTTTAGGAGCCTAAACGCTGTCATGGATCTTTTCATCCACACGCATCACTACCCCACTACAATGCAAAATGCAGTTCAGTTGAGCTTGCTTTTGTAACCTAAATGTTTTAGTTCCAGGATAACCAAAGAATCCTGGCATAGGTTTGTAAATAGCACCTTTTATTTTAAGAATATATCAGATAATCTTGACACCCAATCTCATTGTCATAATCTCTTCAAATCCTGAATTAAAATCAGCTTGTTTTTTTTTCCCCTAGGGTGGTCTGGCGTTATCCTCAGTATGTTTTCTTTCATTTTCTTCACTGACATGTGCATTTACTGGATACATAGATTCCTTCATCATAAGCTTATATACAAGGTACCCACAGCAATTATTATTTTTCTTAAGTGTACTGAGACTTCACAACAGCCTTGCAAAAAATTACTTACCCAGCTGGTCTGACCTTGGAACAGGGAGCAGGAACTTCAGGTTGGGCCCATTTTGGAGATGCTTCCCCATGACATTGAGTAATTCACTTGTCTCTGCCTCAGTTTCCCTGCTGAAGAAATAAAAATGTAAATGAACTCACAGAAACTGTAAGGTTCGCTTCTAAAACACTTTGTAAATGAAAAGTACTGTATAAGATAGGTGGCCTGTTAAGCTTGGTGACTTTTCACTTGTTTCAGGGGCCTCTGAATTGGCACTAAGTGTAATACAGGATTCAGCAGGGGTGGGGGGGGGGAGGGTTTGCTGATCTAGTATAAAATAAATGCTTGTCTTGTCATGGCTTTAATAGGAATATAATTAGATTCAGCCTGACCCACCATTTGAAATCCCATTGGTCTCAAAACTCTACATATAAAGCATCAGTTTAAAAATGACGCGCTCAGCTTTGCCATAGTTATTTGAATACAGTGGATGGCAGCGGGGAAGGTTGGGGCCTGCTTCCCCACACTGCCTTGCCTCAGTCTGCGTGTTGAGGAGAGGAGTAAGAAAGAAACACAATCAGGATAAAATATCTGTATGCTGACGCCTGCGGCAGGCAGCTCAGGGCGGGGGGTTGCTTGGTGGTTGTGTGTTTCCAATCTGTGCACTAACACGGCTCACTTCTCTTCCAGCGCATACATAAGCCCCACCACCTCTGGAAGATTGCTACGCCATTCGCAAGCCATGCTTTCCACCCCGTAGATGGCTTCATGCAGAGCATTCCCTATCACATCTACCCTTTCCTGTTTCCTCTGCACAAGGTGACTTACTTGGTTCTCTATGTCTTCGTCAACATCTGGTCAATCTCTATTCACGATGGCGCTTATCTTGTCCCAGATTTCTTGAAACATGTCATCAATGGCTCTGCTCATCACACCGACCATCACGTATACTTTGATTACAACTATGGCCAGTATTTCACTTTCTGGGATAAAATCGGGGGGTCCTACAAGAGCCCATCATCCTTTGAAGGAAAGGGGCCCCATGATTATATAAAAAAGCAAAGAGAAGAATGGAGCAGTAGGCAAAATGGCCACACGGATGAAAAATTGTTAAATGGAGATAGTTCAAAGAATGAATAGATCTCTATGCTCACTATAAAAAAGGCCCTGAATCTATTATTATTATTTACATAAATACAGATAAAGAAAACCCCTCTCTTATAACGCCATTCTTGGAGGTCAGTCATTTTCAATGCTTATAAGGGTCGTTACCTTGGGGTTATGTAGTTAAGAACCAAAACAGTCTCATCTAGGGGAGGGGATCATTTTATAGTGTGGATAAAGCGTAAGATGAGTGCAATATCTAATGTTGATGCAATAACAAAAACATTTTTCTATAGTGCTTCATGCAAAAGACGGTGCGTTACAATTGGGAGCGCCTTTTCTAACATAATAGCTTGGAGCCATTGTTCTGCTGTAACAAAGTGGGATCCTTTACTATCCTCAAAAGCATTCCCCTATGAGTGTGACTGTTTCAGACAGGCGCTTCATGCTACAGTAGTTCATGGAGAATTTTGCTGTTTGATCCAGGATACTACAAGTAGCATGATCCAGATAACACCCCTTTGGTATTGCATTGGTGGAATATTTGGATCTGAACATACTCAAAAGGAAAAATGATACTCGACTGAAGTAGCACACTACTTTATATTGAGAAAGGTGTATTTCTCACGTGAAACCTGTGCCAACACATTTTTCTGCCTCTGTATACAGATACCCCTGAAGTTTAACAAAAAGGAAGCACACATATTCCAGAAACATACTTACCAGGCAACTTCTAAAAATTAGCTTTGCCATCTGAAACTAAAGTGAGCTAATGCTATTTGGGCAGGAAGTTGTGATTTAAAATAAGCTAAGAATGCCAAGAATTCCTATTTTTTAAATATAATCTTTTATGCTCTTCATACAAAAGTAAGTAATTGTGGAATTGTCTAAATTCATCTATGTATGCCATTATATTATTTATTTTTAACTAGAGCATGCATTTCTGAGCTGCTGCATTTACTACTGCCTTATATTTAGGCCTGCTAAGTTTAAAAAGATGAGGTCCCATTTTTAAGTCGCAAAGAAGTGTCTAATTTTTATAAGGATTAAATAGGAAATCTTTGAAAAAAATGAGATAACAGCATAACTTTTTTGCACAGTGTATATTTTTAGCATTGTGTTAGACAATGCCATTTTATCCGGGCGAAGCAGAGAAAGTAATTTTGGTTTATATTCCAAAAACAAGACAGATTTGATCCAGCTTGTTTTGATTTACCCAAGCAAATTGTGCAGAGTGATATTTGGAAAAGAAAAATAAGTCGTGGAGCCTCCACATAGTGCTCTGCTTCCAAGATGCCTTCAGTATTTTATAAACAGGGTAATTTCTTTAGCTTTAGATGTATCCTGAATTCTCACCTGATGAGGAATTCTTCTTGAGTCTAATTGTTGTGGAGTGTTTTGACTGTTATTATTCCTGTGGAAATCAGATGGTGGATAGAAATTCTGCAGTGATGACTATATTTTGGATGAATAAAGTGTAATTGTGCTCATTGTTTCGCAGAGTGAAATGCTTGAGCTTTCCTGTGAATATTACTTGGATGTTAACAAATTGTCTTAGTGGCTTTTGTTTAAGTTGACTGTTCCTCCCCCTC